ATCGGAACCTCGCAGGCCAAGATGTTGCATGATTTACACATTTCATGTCGTTCCGTAGTCATGTTAGTTGTAGGCGGAAAGGAACTCCGGCAGAATTTGTCGCATGGTACTACCAGCTGTCAGAAAAGGAAGCGATGGGAAGAGATGAGGAAGTTTAAACTGCATTGAAAGGCTAGATGACATCGCTTCGTGAGCAAATGGAAGAAGAATTCGAGGAAAAACTTGGAACAACCTTTGTTGCAAACATGGAAGAATAGAAATCTAATTGTATATAAACATATGCATGGCGAAATGAGTTCCACGGACAGAACATTCTGGGATAATTGTCTGAAAGAGTGACTGCCTGAACTTTTAACTGCATTTGATAATGACAACGTGTTCAATGCAGACGATACAGGGCTCTTTTACCTGGGGAACTCCAGAGAGCTTTTTGCGTTTTTCTGCCGACGAGCTCAGTGGGTTGAAGAAATGCCATGCTACGCGAATATGTCTGACACGGATAAACGAAAACTGGTTTTAATTGGAAAAAGAAGAGACCACGAGGTTCTAATTGCGTGAACCTGGCCAGAGCTAACAGAAATATGTGAATGACGAAAGAACTTTTCACCGTGGGTCCTCCAATGTGACAAGGAGCTAGGCCAAAGTGGCCAAAAAGTCATGTTGCTCTTGGATAATTGCACAGCGCATCCACAGGTAGAAGACTTGAAAAACATTCAAATTGAATTTGTTCCGGCAAACACGACCAGCGTTTTTCATTCCATGGACCACGGTGTGATTATGAACCTGAATATCCGAATTCCTTATCACTTCGAAAACAACGTGTTCTCTGTCACATCGATGCTATTCAGTTCGTTTCAAAAATTAAGAACTGGTTATTTTTGCAACAATAAAAGCTTGATTCCAGGATGCTGACTTAAGTCGACTGGCATCCGATGCATTTTCTGATGACGCCGTCATCGCTGAGGACGAGATCAGCGCCTGCACAATCCAAGTCATCAATGCAGAAGCGTTCGTCACCATTGTCAATGATGTGGAATATACTTCAGATCTGACAACTGTTGAAGATGAAATCGCGAGTAACATTTTAGAGAACGGCTAAAAGAGTCAGCGACTCAGACGATGACGTGCCGGATCCTTCCGTGAGTAACAGCACTCAGCGCGTGTCGCGTTCAAGAGCAAAGAACTGTGTAAATGATCTGCATAGCAATAGATTTTTGCAAGAGTTAGGCAACGATTTCTTGTCCAAATTGGACTGTGCAAAAGTGACTGAAATAGCAGCTCAAAATAACGTACAACTGACGTTAGATTGCTTTCTCAGCACAATATACAGTAGCACTAGTTTTTATAGCTATCAAGGCAAGATGCTTTAAGTTACAACTTTTTAAGTTTTAGGTTATGCACTTTTCTATCCTTCTTATTACGTTACAATTCAAGTGATAACTTGTACAATAATTCAGTGGTTGTTCCCTCTGTAAAAAATGGCATTATCGGTCTATTACCCACCCCGCTTTATTTCCCACTTTTGAAAAATCCCAATGGTGGGCAATCAAACGGATTCGACTGTAATAAATACAGAAACCATAAACGAGAAGAGAAGGATGAAAGTTACTAAAAACTTTTCCTTTTTGAATCTTGTTTGTCTTTTTAACGCGCCATTTTATTTTGTCTTTGCCTGTTTAATGTTTGCGATGTAAATCAAGAAAACCAAGGCAAATATTCGTACACGTTTTCTTTTGCGTCCGGTTCTGCGCTATCTCCGAAAGAGTTTTCAGCCAGCGGTGTTCTTCATCTTTGATCCCCCAGCCTGAGAGACGCACGAGACCTACGACAGCCAAATTGGAAGTCAGCGCTTTAGTCGTTTGTCTCCACATGATAGGTTGACAACCGCGCAGTTTCTTCCAGCCTGATCTTGTGCGAGCGAAAAGTGCGCATCGGGGCAGTCGTTCACATGACATGCGTAAAACATGACCCAGCCATCTCACTTGTTGCAGCGGTACCAGTCTGTCAAATGGAAGTCCCGTGTTACCCAAGACGTGGCGTCTGACATCATCGTTGCCCACGTGATTCCTCCACCAGACTGGAGCTATTCTCCGCAGACATCACTTGTCAGAGTCCCTAGTCTGACGCAATTCAGTCACACGAATTGGCCAGGACTCATTCCCATACAGCAGCACCGCGCGAACACTGGCATCGTAGACCCTGCATAGCTCCGAAGGGAGTCCGTCTGAGCCAGCAGACGAGTTGATTCAAGTGTCGGAACTCAAGCTAGATCTCAGCTTCAGTGGGTGATTTCAATGTGACGTTCCATGGCGCATAACAAGGTACACTCATTAGGCTCGCCGGCGGAGGAGGCCAGCTGAATCGAGTGCGGAAGTGTTCAGCCCAGCGGTCCATGTGCCTGTGTAAGTTAGTGATCGGCGTTCTGTCAACCTCGCAAATGACATCACTGATACCAGGTCTTTTGTGTCCATTGGTCCGAATGACTGGGATGAGCTTGCGAGTTTTTTCTAGAAAGGGCTGCCGTTTGCATCTCTGAAGCGAACTGGGACCACCAAGTTTTGCGATCAGCTCACAGGCTTTGTTGGCGAAGTGGCACTAGTTGCTGTCATCATGAAGTCATGGGGGCGGAACCCGGCAGGGATCCGCTGAGAGGCGCACCACTGACGAGACCCGGAAGGTCGAAACACCGGCGCCTGGTGCTTTTCCAGACTAGCCTAAGCTTGCTATTTGGGAATGACTATAATGAATGAGCTGATTCGCTTAATTTGTTGGCTGAGGATGCGACGCATTGCACTGCTATTTGAGTCGGTCGGAATAGCTCTACGACGATCACCAATTCCAGTGAGTTTGCGGAAATCCAGCCCCTCAAAGCGCGCCTTGTGATTCCCCAAATTGAATGACTGGAAGATAGCATCGCTTCACGCAAAAAACTTTAATGCTTTTTGATGTCTCGTGGTGAAGTACTAATGAATGCATGTGACAAGAAGGCTTGATAAGTCGATCGAATAGAGTGCTCAGCTAGGCTGTTGGGGTCCAGCGTATGGTGCTTTCGTCTTGAGGAACTGCCGAAGCGCATGCAGATGTTCGCGTAGACCAAAGCATAATCTAAATCGAGATAGGTAGACCAAACCGATCTACAGTCTTGGACGCTGCCTCGCCATCTAAAGCTGATTGCAATGTGAATTTTTTGTGATCACGCTTGCGTTGGTGAAGGAGGACGCCAGGTGGCTGCACGTCTTCTGGTATGCCTGAAGTTCGTTCTTTAGAGAGAGAGAGAGAGAGAAGGTGCTCTTCGCATAGCGCAAAAAGTCGATCACCGTTGTCAGAACAACTCTCATCTAACACGTGACTGCCACCAAGATGATATTCGCACGGAAGCAGACGACCTACCGGTGCATTGAAATATTCGGTAAGGACGATGATATCTGACTTTTCGGCCTTGTTCAAAAACTTGTGGAGTCCACGATAAAAGTCATCCTTAATCGGTGCACAGCTGCAGTCGGTTGGCGCGTAGGCATTGAAGCCGGACCGCACACAACCGGCTGTCGATTGGAAACCGGCCGCGTTATGCAGCCTCCGCTTTGTCACTCAATGCGATACCGACACCAGCTGAGCCAGCTGTTGGTGCCTCCATGTCACCAGGCAGACGTAATATGTGGTTTCAAGAGCAGCCGGGGGCGACAAGTTAGCCATGATACTGGGATCCCGCAATCGAATCTCTGAAAGACAACAAGCATCGATGGCGAGGGACTCTGGAGTGCGCGCTAGGCCAGCCTCTTGTCCAATCTGTAGGAGGCTCCGAACATTGAGCGCTTCCAGGCGGAATGCAGAACGGAGTCGAAGGATGAACGATGGCCTCATCATTTGGATATCAGTGAGACGGGCGTTGGAAGTAGGCTTACCAGGTTGTAAACTATCCACAAAGAAAAGATTGGCATGTGGAGTAGCATGAGTAGCAGCGGAAGTGAGCGAGTTAGTGATAATTGCGAAATCCATGCTTAGACTTTAGATGTCCGCCTCCCAATTTGAGTTGACCATTGCCCCTACCAAATGTAAAGTCCTTTTACAGGACGCCAACCGCATATCCTTCTCTTACCGTTTCTGGGCATCCACTGAAATGGGTCGACAAAATCATTGACCTTGGGAGTTGTCATAGTATTGGCGGTTTGACGGATGATACATCCCTGCGTGTCTCCGAAGCTAGAATAGCTTTCGATAACCTTCGTTACCTGTGTCTTCGTCGTGACCGCAACCTCGCTCTCAAGGGACGAGCCTACAATGCTGCGGTACCTACGATTTTGCTGTACTCCTGTGAGACTTAGTCCTTTCGCACAAGTGGTGTTCAGCAGCTATCTGTCTTCGATCACTGCTGCCTGCGAAGCATTACTAGTATTCGATGGCAACATCACATCATTGCTGAGGAAGTCCGTCGGCGAGTCTTCAAAGCTGACAAACTCCGCCAACCGATTGACAGCATCATTTCACTGCAAAGGCTTCTCTGGCTTGAGCATGTGCTTCGCATGCCTACCCAGCGGCTACCCCGTGCCCTATTTGCGAACGAAGGCGTGGGATGAAAGCGACGACAAGGAGGTCAGTGTAAAACTTGGATCCAATGCGTTAAGGCGCAAACGTCGAAGCTGGTGGTTGTTGGTCGTTCCCGACTCCAGGGTTGGGGACCAAAGGACCCCGAGCACATCTGGTTGCAAACGCTACTGGATATGGCCAAGGACCGTACGCAATGGCGCACTTGCTGTGAGACTCTTCTTCTCTAACAGTCGTTTTCCCTTTTAGTCTATTTTCCCTCTTCTTTGTTGTGGCACTCAGCCAATTGTAATTTAATTGGTAAAGTGTTGAATGTATATATATATATATATATATATATATATATATATACTATTAGACTGCAGGGTTTTGTTACAAGTTTTCCATGCTCCCGCTTTTATCTGCTTCAGCTACTTTAGTACTGGAATTCTCTCGTGACTTTTCTCTTTATACCTCAGTTCCCTCAAGTTCCACCAAAAAGCTTCACCAATCTGGTTCATGAAGGAATGGGTAGGGCAGAGCGTATCATCAAAGCTGTCATGCTTCCGGTGGGTTCATCGGGGCTTTCCTCGTCCTCCACCACTACCGACACTTCCAGCGGTTTCATCATGGGTCCTGTTGACTCACGTGCAGCGGAAGTGTTTCTGGCCAGCTATCGGCAGCTGTTACCGGACGCCACTCCGACTGACCTGCAAAAGGTTCTCGAAATGAAGGTTGGTGACCTTTTCGTAACTGGTTACACTCTTATTTTGTCTGTTGCATACCCCTTCTTATACATGTGACCTTATTGTGTTTCATCTGCACCCGCCCTTCTGCTAACTACATGACTTTTTCTTCACATCGTTTGTATGCTCCGACTAAATAATCGGTTGATTCAATCCCTTCTCCTTCCTTACCTGCACTGACCGAAAGAGTCTTTCGGTCTATAACTTCTCGGTACCCTACCACAGTTGGTTTTGCGGCTCATCAGACATAACTCTATATCGTGTTCACCCACCATTACATTAACTAATTGTGAGTAGAATCTATTTGATACAACTCTAGTTAGGGTTCTTTGCAGTAGCTTCCAAGTCCCACGCATCCGCAATTGCACTAAGCGGCCGTTTCGTCCTATGAGGTTTCGTTAGCAGTGCGCAGTCCTCTGCTCCACCAGCAGCCAAACTTACTGCCTCTTAACTTCACCTTCTTAGGCCATAGGTTGTGGCACCAGGCCATCCTGACTTGCAACCCAACTGTGATATAGCGCTGTTCATCCATGCCACTACTGTGCAAACTGCAGATTGGCGGTGGACGGGGTTGGCTCCCAAACTTGCTGCTTCCCATACATTAACGGTTACTGTTCCGAATGCGACTAACACCTCGTCCGTCGTTTCACCGCACAGACTGTGATACGCGATATTTTCGATCGTTTTGACTGAATTCAGTAAAACTACCAAGAATACGTGCAGCCATGTAGAGAGTCGGAACCGTGCATTTACGAAACCGTGTGGAACCCTTGACCGATGCATATCGCCACGGAAGTCGAAAACGACATCAGTTATACCTTTGGCTCAGGTAACGACTGCAAGCTGAATGGCAAACATCGAGTAAGTGTACATCCTCAAGGGCTTTAAGCTAACAGCGTTTGCGGGTCAGGAGAACGTAATAGATTAGTCAAACTAGGCTTAGCTTGCCCGCATACTTCCAAGTGGTACCATCCGAAGTGTGCTAGCTTATCCCAACAGCAGGTGCGAGAGATGAATAGCTCTCAAGATGCCTTTTGTTCTTCTACTACCTGTTCGACCATCCCATTTTTCAAGTGTATGCTTGTCCTAGTCCAGAAATGCAACCGGTTGGTATCAGAAGCCGAGCAGCGAATGAGCAGTAAGATCATCTCATTGGAAGAAGGTCTGAACCAGTTAAACCTAGGGACATTTAACCAAAGGTATGGTGCACAAGTTGTTGCTTCTGAACCACGATCAGCCAGGTCCCGATCGCCGTTGTCTTTCCATTCTTTGGCAGTACAACAGTCCAAAATTGACCGTAACTCCGAGAGACAAACTGTGTCCGTGGCAACTAAAATCAGGCACCAACCGAAACGTGTGATTAACTGAATCTTGCCCATCCTGAAAACACCTGTATGTAAAAAGGACAAAACAGCCGAGTAGCAACCCTCAGCATCTGCAACTCAGACGTCTATTGTCGAGCCAAACTCTCCTAGAACCTCAGTCACATATGCCGCGATTGCTACAAAGTTCACCCGAGAGGCCACCCTTTCAGTCTCTTCTATTACAAACACCGCTAACTTGAGTAGAGAGATAAAAAAAGCAATCACTTGGTAGCAAGTTGGGACAAAGGAACCCCCAATCTTTCAGCTCCGCGAAATAGGGATCTAACAATAGTATCCTGACTGTTGTGTGCTCGAACGTACTCGAATCAACAGCTATCACATTATAAGGTAAATTGTTCGACGACCTAAACCAATGGGAGTCACTATACTTTCTGGTGAAAGTAAAAGCCGAACCTACAAACTTAGTACGAATTACTCCTCACCTGAACTCTGTACACTTTGGCGAGCCCGGGCTTATCGGAGTAACAATAAAATCCCCAACTGATGTGGAAACGTTCTGCTTTCCGCAAACGTGCTGCAACGTGGATCGTGTGGGATACTTATCTATCCTGATGTTCAGTAGAACATGCGACAGTTGAAAAGAAACTCCGAAGAAGGACACAGCAAACCTGATCGCCTGAAGACAACCTTTATCTATGGTGTGCCAGAGCTTCCTTCGCAGAATAGTCAAGAGACCGGCAATCATGATTTATAACAATGCCAATTCGTCCGCGAAACTCTTTCATGTTTCACTCGTAGCAAGCAGCGACAGAGGTGTTACATAGTTGGCACAAAATTCTAAAAACTTTCCACCGGAACTTCGCTTAAGGACTGCAGTTGCTTCGCTAGGTCCAGTTACGAAATCATCTGGAAAAAAACGTACCGACGATGATTACTCCTTTACCCGATACTGACTTGGATCTAGATGAGGGTTAGGACACGTTTTGGCCAGAGCAAGGTGCGGAATCAGTATCAGTATCTCATCAAAAAAACGAATAACGGCCAACCTCACCTCGGTCGGCACTCTCACACACCTGACTTCCTGTGGTGTACTAGAGACCGATAAACTAACCTGCTTGTACACGAATGCTCAGAGCCTCTTAATTAAGCTGGCTGAACTGAAAGACCGCCAAGTTTCCCAGAAATATGATCTCATCGGCATCACGGAGACCTGGTTACACACTGAAATGACGGACGCTGAAATTTCGCTACCTGATATGTCACTCATTCGGAACGACAGGATGACAAAAGGAAAGGCATAATTCTGTATTACCGAAGCGACTTGTAGTGCGAGGTCACGGAAGATTCAGATTCGCTGATTCCTGATTCGCTTTAGTGTCGCCTACAGTTAAGAAGCAGAGACACCCTATTGCCTTGGTGTACCACCCCCATAACCCCACATCTGAAACGGACTACCAAATTGCGACTACCCTGCGGCAAGCTCTAAAAGGAAAATGTACTCACATCTTGACGATGGGTGATTTCAATGTGCATTGTTTAGAAACTCCTGCCACGAGGGGAGAATAATTTAAATTTGAATTGCAGGAGCTTGTAACCAGTGTTCCGCTTTATAATCATGTCACTTCGCCCACACGATTCAGAACAAGTAATAGATCATATGTGCTTAATCTTGTGCTTTCTGACGTAGAACACATGATTGATGCGTTGGTTGTAGACTGCCCGTTAGGTCGCAGTGATCACGCAGTTATTAGTTTCATCTTCACCTGCTATGCAGCATACCGAGATACCGACCATCAAATACTACGACCGATTAGCCCACCTCGTCAGTGCCACAACCTGGTCGTTCCTCACCGAAGACCCCCTGGATGTCACCGGGCTCGAGTTCGTAAACAAATTCAGTCGGCTGGTTATGGATACCTCGGAGACAAAAGTTTGCAAACGGTCTGAAACAGTTACTTACGTAAGCAGCAGAACTCAAAAATTGCTGGCAGTACGCAACGCAGCGTGGCGTGAGTAGAAATTATCCCCAACACCAGAAAGCTGGGAAGACTACGTAGCCCAACGAAACCACTGCACTCAACTACTCACAGAGGACAAAGCCGCGCATCAGCAGTACATATCAAGGACCTTCAGCGCCAATCACAAACTACTGTATAAGCACGTCAATGGTCTTCGGAAGGTGTGGCAAGGAGTTCCGCCACTCACGACGGCTGATGGCTAAACACGAACGGCTACGGAAGCGGCAAACGCGCTGCAGATGCGAAATGCCTCCATCTTCCAGAGAGTATTTGTTATACTTGCGCTTAATGGGGCGTTGAGCCGTCAGAACAAAGACTTTCACCGCACCGGACAGTGTATTGACCAAATCTCAAGTCGCATGAAACAAGCATGACAGCCAACAATATAGTGTGTGTCAGACAAGCGGCGGCCTGATGCATATGAACCACAGTAGACGACTGGGTGAGAGCGAAGTTCACGGTCAGGTGTGTGGGACGACATTGTACTTTCAAAGCACCGGATCGCCTGGTTTAATATCTCCCTCTTTGCAAACACGTTCTCCAGACTCATACGAATGAAGTGCTGGGTTTACCCGTAAACCTCGGACCGGTTTACTTGTCCGCATAGGTTTCCGAGTGACTCCCTGGCATGGCCCTGTGCACATTTTCGTCGGCTCACTAAGATCCACATTTTTTAGTTCATACGTGTCCAACAGTACATCGAACGGCAACTCGAAGTAGGGGTGACTATGTGTTCGATCCGTTGTTTGCGTAACTGATTAACGTGCCGTGCGCGAAACAACGGTCCGATGGACACCTCATACAACACAGTGCCTTTCCTTTTTCGTACCATCGCAGGTTGCCAGGTTTGGTGTGTCGACCTTGTATCCAACACGTACACCGGCTCCCCTGATAGGAAACTTATGCTCACACATGACGCGAGTGGCCGTTGCATAATCTTAGGGCTTATTGCATCAATTGGAAGACCTATCTCACGCCCGACCATGGCTTCCGCTGTGGTGCTGCCGGCTGGTTAGGGTTAGGCGTAGCCCGATAAGTTAACAGAAACAGCTGTATTTTCTCTGTCGGTGCTTTCCCTCCGCAGTTTTAGAAGTGGACGTTTGTAGGTATCCACGAATCTTTCTGCTTGCCCGTTGGACTGGGGATGCCCGGAGACGACCGGCAATGCGTGATACCATTACGCTGACAGATGCTCCAAAATCGTCGAAGATAAATTGCGAACCGTTATCGGAAACCAAGGTGTTTGATGTACCGAACTGTGCAACTAACTGTTGTAGTTTTCCTACTGTGGCCGCTGTCATAGTTGTATTCATCAGGTATACGTCCGGCCACTTGATATACACATCAACTACAATCATAAAAGTCAATGGCCTTGCACTGGACCAGCAAAATCAACTTGCATTCTCTCCCAAGGCTTAGAGGCTGCCATCCAGGGTTGGATGATTTTGCTTGAAAGTTCCGTTGCTGATGCAAATGTGGCGACACAGTCATGAATAACGTTGTCAATAAATTCCAGTATACGTAACTTCTGGCTAGAGCTTTCATCCGTGATACTCCGGGGTGATGTAGGTGTAAGTATCTTAATACCGTTGCCTGCAGGGACTTCGGAACAACCACACGTCCACCGAACACAACACAATCATCAGCCAGTACTAACGAGTCACGTCGACAATCAAGTTGTTTAAGGTGGGTGTTAGTAATTCGGTCTGGCCCC